TTCAAATTCATGGTAAACGTGTTATTAATATTTGAGTTAACACAGAATCATTTCCTTTTTTTCTTTTCAAATGAAAAGTTTCAAATATTGCATCCAACTTGGACTTTACATCGTCTCTTTCTATGTGCTTTAAAGTTTCTATTTAGTAATCTTTTGATCCAAAATCTGTATTTTACTACTTTATTTACTTTTCTCTTTACAAATTTCAGAGGTATCAGTGTGAAAAACCCCAGTTTAAAGAAAGAATGAAGCAAAAGAAGATTAAGAATTTGAGAATGTGAATTTAAGTACAAAAGAAAAGCTATACTGCATCAGACCAGAGTCCAGTCAGGTCCCTCATATCTTTCCTACAATAGCTGACCAGGTGTCCTGGAATGACATAAGCAGGACAGTTCTCATGTATAGCTTAGGCACCTCATATCTGGACCACGGCAATATGCTTTACATAGAACAGTCTTTGAAGACACCTTGAAAGTGTCACCTGATCCAGAATATAGTATCATAAGCAGTTACTTCTACCATGGTATGTCAATGTAGCACCTCTGCTGTATAGGATATATTGGTAGCATGGGCCTCGTTCTTCGGAGGGTGATCTTTCTCCTGATATTTATGCCTATGCGGCAATATGAGACAGAGTCCAAATCCCTTATATAATACCCAGGTTATGTACCTTCTCTGTTCAGAGTCCAAATCCCTTATATAATACCCAGGTTATGTACCTTCTCTGTCCCTCTGGAACAGCCTTCCTCCAGAAATTCTAATAGTCTCTATTTTAACCATGCCTTCCTCCAGGTTAAGATATGAAGGATTTTGCATGTTTTTTGTAGGATATTGTTCCTCAAAATAATCTCCCTTTTCTGTTGTGTTTGGTGCTATCTGTAGGTAGGTAGGTAGATAGGTAGACAGGCCGACAGACAGACAGATATCCACTCCATGAGGGTTCCTCGTTTGACCATAACATGACGGCTATGACATGGTGATGTAACACTCTGGTTTATTTCTTTATGTATATTTTTATTTATTTATATTTCACATTTCTGAACTACCCATCTCCCTCAAAGAGGCATTCTTAATGGCGCTACAGTAGTAAGTCCAGTTGTAATTCTTATTCTAAAGCAGAGGTAGCAACCTCTTCATAGTCAAGGGCTATATACTTAACAAAGTAACATGGCATTTTGGGAAGTTATGGTCCTTAGTGTGAGTTGGGCCATATGACATATATAAGGGTTAGGTTGGGAGTTTGGGGGGGAAATTGAGGTTCATCTTTGTTTTTAAATCTGATCTGCCTATTTTAGGGCTTTTATATTTATTGTCTACCTCAAAATGGCAGGACAACATGGCCTCATTGTTCAGTAATTATGCTCTGAGAGAGTTCTGAGTGCTATGAAAGAGGGACTTGAGGGTTACAGATTGCCTGTCTGTTCTTCTAAGGGATGATTGGGCACATTTTTGCTATGTATATTTTATAACATTCTATTGGGTAACTGAAACAATGTTAATAGATTTTCTTTTTATATTCTTCCTTTAAAATTATTTCATTTTGTGTGGTTTTTTTTAATTAAATATCTTATTTTTTAATTTGGTACCGCATTTCTACCTGTTTCCGTGTCATTGATTACTAAAAGAAAAACAAAACAGTTCTTAATATGTCCAAGAGAAAGGTTTTATTCATAATGAGGTTCGCAGTGAGGATCTTTTGTCAAGGAATAATACGAATAAAAGTAAAAAGAAATGAGAAGAAGTGTTTTTAAAAACCTATACTGATAATACATTTTGCCAATTGTACTGATATGCACAATCGGATGGGACTAAACTTCTTTATTGTATAGGGGTTTATACTGCACTGGGATGCTAACACTTCCTCAAATTTTACTTTTAACTATTGCTTTTGAGAAACCAATAATAGAATTTGAACCTATCACCTGAGAAATGTGAATTTGACATTTTCCACGTTCTTTGAATTTCTGTTTCTATGAACTCTGGTGATAACACCTCTGAAGTGCTAAAACCTCTAAGCATTTGGATAACAATATTGGCATAAGTGGCTGTGAGAAAATAAGCCTCATGGGATACCAATGACATGTGATAACTAGAAGTTTTTTTTTAAAAAAAATGCAAAAAATAAGAGACACCCAGAACTGCTCTCTTTCTGAGGGATTTAAAATGATAATTGTTCCAAAAGCAAATTGGAAGTTTTCTTCCCTACTATGCATTATGTCATTTTGCATACACCTTTTTTACTGTCAGAATTGAGATACAATGATATGCTAGTGGGTTGTTGCATTTTTCATGGCATAAGGATAAAACCTGACATTCAGCAATTATTTCTAGGAAATACAGTCCGAAAAAACTAGATAAACATTTCACATGTGTGCGTGTGGGGGGGGGGGAATTGTACATTTGTTAGGGCTCTATAATACTCAGTTATTGTTTTGACTTGAAAGTTATCTTGGAGAGATTTGTCCCAGCTGATTTTATTTAATTTCATTTATATAACAGAGAAGTTTTAAAAGCTAGTTTATCTTATTACTGTACTACCCTTTTCAGTATGATGTATTTTATTATTTTATATTTTATTATCCCATAACAATGTTATGTTATACATAAGAATGCAAGAATGATTAGTACTCAGTGAAAATCAAGCCGAGTTCCTCTACTCTGCCATCAGTCTGGTTGAGGATCTGATTGTCAGAGTTTCCACAAATGCATAATTCTCTCCTTGGCTAGATTAATAATAATAATAATAATAATAGTAATAATAATAATAGTAATAATAATAGTAATAATAAAGTTGGAAGGGATCTTGGAGGTCATCTAGTCCAACCCCCTGCTCAGGTAGGAAACCCTATACCATTTCAGACAAATGACTGTCCAGTCTCTTCTTAAAAACTTCCAGTGTTGGAGCATTCACCGCTTCTGGAGGCTGGTTGTTCCATTGGTTAATTGTTCTAACTGTCAGGAAGTTTCTCCTTAGTTCTAGGTTGCTTCTCTCCTTGATTAGTTTCCATCCGTTGCTTCTTGTCCTGCCTTCCGGCGCAGGACAAGAAAGAAAGATGGAAAACTGGCTTCTTTTTATTTACATTATGTAAATAACATTATAAGATTATAACATTACATTATGTAAATAACTCAGAAGAATCTATCAGCAGGATAACGTTCCCAAAACCTGGGAGAACAAGACCAAATTTGGTACGGGAGAAGCCAATAAATGAAAAATGAGTTTTAAAATTAAAAAAAAGAAAACCCAATTTATCCCAGCTGGAGACAGAGTGGGCAATGAATGGCTTAGATAGATTGTTGCTTCCCACTCCATTCTAACCACTCTTCCTTCTGGTCACATGACTCAGAGTGACGCTCCTATTGTGGAGGTGCAGACTATTCCAGAAGCCATACTCTGCATACTCTCCCTACCTAAATTATTCTAGAATGTTTACTAACAGAATGGTTACTGATTGATCAAATGTCTTAGGAGGCACTTTGCCAAATTATCTCACAACAGCTTTTAGCTGCATATCCTGCAGATTTTTCTAATTCTTTCCTTGTCATTGCAAGTTAGCAACTGATCACTTCTTTGTATAAAATATTGATTTTGATGGGTTAGAAATAAAAGTAACATCCAGAAAGACCTCAGTGGCTGGTCTAATGCTCTGCCCTTTTGTCATTTTTGGTCTCTGTTTTCATTATAGTTCAAGATTCTATTTTCTTATTGTAATAATTTGAAGGAAGTCAAGATAACTAGTATTGAACTTGCCCCTAATCAAGATCCGCATAACGTGTAGTGGCAAATTTGAGTGGCTCGTTCTAAATTTGATCAATTTTTTTAAAAAAATGCATATAGGGATCACCAGATATAACATAAAGCTGAGATTCAGGAAAGCTAGTTTAGGTTTATTTTTAAAAATAACATACACAGTAGTTTATTTATAATTAGAGCAGTTGTACTTATTTTGAATGCTAAACTGCAATATCACAAATTGTACTTGAAATTCTACTCAGTTTCAAAAAATGTTTTGCTATTCAGTTAGAGGAATGTAAGCCCAAAACTATACGGTTCTATAGAACAGCAATCTGCATAATTCATTTAGCTATAGTACTGTTTTCTGAAGACTTTGCATTTATATCCACGTCCATGTTTATTTGAAAGAGTGATTCAGCTTGACATGCCTTACTTATGGGTAATCATATTTAGGGCAGAACTGTGAAAATATTAGAAGCATGAACCATAATAATATAAATATAAATTAAATTGCTATTAAAATTCTAATTTGTTTAGTCCTTGAAAATAGGAGGTTAGATCTACAAATTGTTATCTAGAACAGAGATGATATTTTGGTATATACTGTATGAGGCCCTGATCTAAAGGAGGATTCTTTCTGGTCAGATGCCACAGTACTTATCAGTTCCTCTTTTCTTTGCAATATTTTATGCTCTTCAAAATATTTTTTAGATGGTTGGAACAGTGGGGGATAGGGTGTGTAGCTCTAGAAGGAGGTGAACATTAGGAAAAAAAAATAGTATTCACCCCTTTTTCCATTATCAGCATTGTTTGAGTAGAAAACTCCACAGAAGCATTCCTATGAATACTAAAAACCTGGGTTTAAGCCTTTCACTTTAAGCAAGCCTTTGACAACTAGTTTGGTCTAGTGGTTAAGGCACCAGGCTAGAAACCAGGAGACTGAGAGTTCTAGTCCTGCCTTAGGCATGAAAGCCACCCAGGTGGCTTTGAGCCAGTCACTCTCTCTTAGCCCATGATCTCAGACACAGGTGACAAACTGGTTGGTCAACTTCGGTCACAACCAATGAATCAACATTCATTTGGTCTGAAAAGTGGATCCTGCACCTGTGGGAAAATACCAGGAAAATGCCTTTAAGTAAGCAAATATATGGTTGGTATTATCTCCCCCTCTCCCCCATCTTAATGGTCTTGTACTTCTCTCACCCTCCTCTTTCTTTCTCCTAGGCAGACAAAGAAGATGTTAAAGTAACAAGAATCAATGTGGAAGAGTATGGATTTCTAAAGAGACAAACTACCCCAGTGCCTGAATGTTTGCTATAGCAGCTCTTCAAGACAGAACATGCAATACCCTAACTACAGACACAGTGATTAATCTGATATTGCAGCCATGGAAGACAACTCAAGCTTTTGGGACAGCTTGATATTTTCACACCCAATCTGCATGAACTGGAAGTCAGAAGCCGAAGGATCGATCTATCATTTAGCTAGCATTTTGTTTGTGGTTGGCTTTATGGGCGGAAGTGGCTTCTTTGGCTTGCTCTATATTTTCTTTCTGCTAGGGCTGGGTTTTCTCTGCTCATCTATGTGGTCGTGGCTGGATGTCTGTGCAGCTGACATTTTCTCGTGGAATTTTATCCTGTTTGTGATCTGCTTCATACAGTTTATTTATGTAATCTACCAGATACGGAGTGTTGCTTTTGACAAAGAATTTCAGGAACTTTACAATGCTTTGTTCCAGCCTTTGGGGATCTCCTTGCCCGTTTTTAGAAAAATTGTCCTCTGCTGTGGTGAAGAAGTTATTACATTAGAGAAGGAACATTTTTATGCGATGCAAGGCAAAACTCCAATTGACAAGCTCTCCTTGCTTTTGTCAGGAAGGTTAGTATTATGTTTATCCCTCCTTCTTTCTTTAGAAACAAAAGGTCCAAGAATACCAGATCTTTGGCTTCCTTGGCATTGTTTGTACCTGTTTAAAATGAACAGACTGGGTTTAATGTTTTGACAGTTTAATACTAAGTGTAAACAATATTCCTAGGTCAACAAGCTACTGTAGTGGTTTAAAACAAATCAGGCCATGGAGGTGTGAGGAAGCATTAATTGTGGCATGATTTATCTTCTTGAGAAAAACTGTATTTTCCTTTAGCATTGGAAAAGTTTAAGGATACTAAAAACAGAAAACTGAAAGAAAAAAGTTTGGATAGGTTTCCTAGGACTTAGAACAGGGGTCTTCAAACTTGGCCCTTTTATGACTTGTGGACTTCAACTCCCAGAATTCCTCAGCCAGGCACGCTGGCTGAGGAATTCTGGGAGTTGAAGTCCACAAGACATAAAAGGGCCAAGTTTGAAGACCTCTGACTTAATATTGTATTTTCAGTATTTTTCATTTTTCTGTGACTAATCCCTTTTAAAATTGTTGTACTGTAACTGCCCCCCAGCCCCTATTTCTGCTATGTTTTCTGTTGTGTTACAACTTCTGTTTAATTTGCATAATTCTGAAAACAAAACAAAAAAAGAATGCCTTCTCAAAGTATACCTGGGACTTTGAGACCTGCACTTATCCTTGGAACATATTCAGTATGTTTCATGTGAGGGCTGTATTCATTTTAATGTCCTAATTTTCATTTAACAGTGCTACATTGTCAAATCAGTTATTACAACAACATTTCATTTATCCCGGTTTCCCTTCTTCTGTCCGTGTTCTGGAACATTGGAGAAACTAGAGGTTGAACATAAAAGCTATATCCACGTCCCCTTGTTTTGTACCAAACTCAGAGTGATGAACATCTTTGGACTGAGTATTGAAGTCTTTTCAAATAATGGATTAATATTTTTTGTTTTTAATTTATTCATAAAAGAGAAAAAATAGTATAGAACAGAAGTCTCCAACCCTTCTAGGTTAGCGGACCGGAAGGAAAGGGAGGGGAAGCATTTTATGCGCATCCACGCACACACACAAACGGGTCCACAAGCATGTGCGATGTAAACAGGGCGATGCTAGTGCCCACGTGACACCCACTAGCACCGCCCCGTTTTCACCATGCGGTGCCCTGTTTTTGCCATGCAGCACCCTATTTGCATAGCGGCACCCTGTTTGTGTAGCGGTGCACCATTTGTGTAGCGGCGGCGGTGCTAGCGTTAATGGCCAGCCTGTCCCGCAGACCAGTGGTCAGGAGACTACGGCCCGGTAATGGGCCGTGGCCCACAAGTTGGGAACCCCTGGTATAGAAGATAGACCAATAGACTGCTGGTTGATCTGAAATACATCTGCAAGGTTTTTTTATTCTGAATTTCTTAACCACGGCAATTATTTTTTTTTAAAAAACCCCCACCTTTCCAAATTACATCATTAAAAGAAAAAAATGAGATGGCAAAAGGTATTCATTAGTTCACATATTCAGTGCAATTGATATTCCCAACTTCACATTTTTTTGTATTAAAAGTGGTGAACCTGATAATATTAAGCACAGGTCAGTTTATGTGTCATAAATCCTGAAGGCTTACTCTGCCCTTGCCTAGACTAAAGGAACATTGAAACCTATAACGGAAGTGATTTATGTGTGGCTGAAGAAGCTAAAGATCTTAATTTTCAAAATGGATTCAAGTTTGATGGGGCACAACCCTATGAACAGCTTATCAGTTTCATTTTACAGAGTGACCTGTATGCATGAACAAACAGGACCAAGGTGCAGTTCTGAAAGATCCATAGTCCAGCCATCTGTTTCCATAGTGGTCAGATAGAAATGTTTAGAAATTCCACAAGTATAACGAAAGGAACTTGACTTATTTCCAACGTACAGGTATCTGGTTGCCAAACATTAATAATTCTATTTAGGATAATATCTAAAATCCTTAATAAGATTACTCTATGTGAATTTGAATTGTTGTAATCTCCCGTTTCTTATTCTCAGAAATTCTGCAAATTCCGGATAATGGATATATTATAATCCATGTAGCACATTCAGATAAAAAAATCCTTGACAGCTTCCAGCCATTTTCATTGTTCCTCTATTTTTGTCTTTCTGGCACTGCAGTTACAAGCCAGGCTTATTTTGCAGGATGAATGTCTTTGGAAACTGCCTACTTATTTTTCTTTTCTTTTCTTTGTGCAGGATTTCTGTTTAATACCTTTGTTATTGTTGTTTCTTTCTGGGTTTATGCTTTTCTTGAATACTTACTGGACTATTGCCAAGGAGATTCAAGAATATTAAGAAAGATGTGACTTGGAATTTTTTTCAGGGGGGCTTTGCGTCAGACATTGCCATTCTCCATTTGACTATTTTTGCTCGTTTGGGCTGAAAAATCTGTAAATAAATATATGTAGTTTATTAATAAATGCATATAGATATTAGACCTAAAATGATAATCCTGAAATCTAAGACATTATTTAATGCCACTGTCATGGCATAAATTACTCAAAATTTAAATATTATTCACCCTGGTCATAAACCTAGGCATTTTTTTCCTTTTCCTATGCTGGCAGTTATTAACACAAATTGATCTGTTTTGTTAAGAGTTAGAGTGACGGTGGATGGGGAATTTCTGCATTACATTTTCCCTCTTCAATTTCTGGATTCACCTGAATGGGATTCACTAAGACCCACAGAAGATGGCATTTTTCAGGTAGGGAACTTCTGTGAATCTGTCAGATAAAATACTCCTTTTTCAGAACTGAACCACAGATACTCCAGGAAATATCCAATTTAGGATTAAGACCTATCTCTCTAAGAATTTGTATTGACAGCACTTTTTTTTTTTTGAAGAAAAAGGATCCAAATACTTGGATAATTAATGAAAATGCTGCTGGAGTGAAGTATGTGAAAGTTTAAGCAAAGTTCAGTGATTTTGAAAAAGAAACTCTTTTTTTGTAGGCTTTTCCATGCACCACACATTTTATTTTCTACTTGCCACTTGAATTAATAACTAATGCTGACAATCGAACTCATGGCTTTGTAATTAATGGAATATCCAGAGTCTAGAGCCGTGGTGGCGAACCTATGGCACGCGTGCCACAGGTACACGCATTGTCGCCCCAGTCCTAGGCCTTCAGCTGGGTTTTATAAATCCTTTTCGCTTTAGGCCTCCGCCGCCGTGTGCAAAAAAAAAAGGTTCAATCAATCAATCAATTTCAACTTCTTGGGGGGAAAAAAAAGATCTCGCAAAGTTGGAACTGATTGATTGAACTTCTTAGTCCCACTCAGTCTGCCGTTACCACCGCAGACATGCCCACCCAATGGCCACGCCCACCCAACAATATATAAGTGGGTTTTGGGTTGTAGTTTGGGCACTCGGTCTCTAAAAGGTTCGCCATCACTGGTCTAGAGTGATTTCAGCACCAGCAAAACTAGTTTTCTGGCATTAGGGCTGCTTCGAGTTAGATCATTCATTTAGCAACCTTTTGAAGTTACCATAGCACTGAATGGACTTATGATTAGTGCCCAAAGTTATGCTATTGCATTGTCCCTGCATTCACATGATCAAAATGTGATGCTTGTTGGCCACCCATACTTCAATTCCCCAGTTATTTACTCCCCCCCCATCTATGCCCTTTTGGCCCCTGCACTACACACCAGCTGATGCTTGCCATCTTGTTGCTTCTGTTGCTGACCGGGCATGCCTGGCTTGACCCTTTGTCAGGCATCTGCTGGCCGCAAAGGTTTTCTTCCCAATGTTACCTATGACAGCTTCCTCACAAGCAGAATGGGCCAACTTGCTGTGGCCAACTTGCCATGGCACAATTCCACACACTGTAACAACTCAACATGATAAATGTTATCCGCCACTGTTTCTTCTACATTATTCCCATTTTTGTCAGTGGAAATAATGTCAAAGAAACTGGTGGATAACATTGATTGCATTGAGTTATCCTGAAGGATTGTCTGATGGCGACTTGTCCCATGGCAAGATGGCCGCAGAGAGATGGCTGCACTGTGTTGGCTGTGGTGAGATGGCCGTGGTAGTTGGCTGCAGCAAGATGGCCATGGCGAGTTGGCCGTGGTGAGTTGTCCTAGAGCCCTCACAAGACCTGGGGAAGATGAGTTCACATGGTTTCCTTGCGAAAGGCCAGGGTGGACACACCTCAGCAGGAGCAGGAGCAAGAAGGTCAGCTGGAACAGCTGAGGGAGCAGGGGGCTTGAGTCAGGATGATGAGGGCAACTACAATTGCTACCCAGGCTTTGAGCCATGCTATTGCAGCTTCTTGGGGCACAGTAGCTTTGTGCTATGCTACTGGATCAAGCTGGGTGGCTGAAGCTTTATGCTGCGGGTCAGGGACTTCTTGTAGCCCTGACAATGCAGCCTGTTGGCTACCTTTGTGGCCATTGGCCCCAAAGCCACATGATTTGGGGACTTCTGGGTGTTCCAAAGGCAGGTGCACGGTTGCAAAAAGGATAGAAATGAGGGTGAGGAAGCAGTTGGGAAGAGTTGAAAAGGAGGCAGTCCCTTACCTGTAAGAACTGAGGCTCAGGGCTGGGAGGGGGTCAAACCTAGAATGCCTTGGATTGGGGTAGGCCCTTGACTAACAACCGGTCGACTTTGCTTACTGAAGGCACTGGGATTGCTGTTGCTAAATGATATGGTCTTTGCTGTCACAGTATTCAGCAGTGGAAATTCTAGTCCCAATTGTGGTCATAAATACCTACATGTAAATATATTGGATTCCAAAAGGAACGTTTTGAAAGCTTTTCTTGTTTATTCTTTTGATGCTATTTCCTATTCTGATATAAATGGAAACAGGTCTATTATTTGCAGTCTCTCTATAACATATTCTCCTCATCACTAGCCCATACATAGTGTGCTTTAGATTGTGGGGATGACTGTCACATTTCAGTTTATAGGACTGCAGGAGAAGATGTGAAATGTATGCATGTCAGATAATTCCTCGTTTGAATTTCTGTCTTGATCTATCTCTCTTGTTTTTCTCTCTCTTTCATTTTTTCTCTCTCTGTGTGTGTGTTTGTATGTGTATGCATGTGTGCGTGACTGTGCAAGTCACTGTTGACTCCTGTCAACTCCCTGGACTCATTTCAAGTTTTTGTGTCTTGATTTTCCTTAGTAGTTTGCCATTGCCTTCTTCCTAGGGCTGAGGGAGAGTGACTGGGTTATGGTCACTCAGCTGGCTTCAGGCCTAAGACAGGAATATAATTCACAGTGTCCATCTGGGTGAATAGCAGTGTCTAATTCAAAAATGAAATGGTGAATCAGCTTCCAAGAGTTTAGAGCATCGGGTCATTGTTTTGTCATTGTTTCATTCTTATTTGTAGAAATGTTTACAGAAATTTAAAATTGGTGATCATACCTCTCATACCTATGTTGTGTCATGCAACGTAGCATTTTGTTCCAGTGCCATTCAACAGGTATAATGAAGCCATCTAAGGTGACCATTAAGTTAACTGGCATTCCTAATACTGATTTGGGAATATCTATAAGGGGAGACCTTATCAAGTATATCAGACCTGTTGATGGTCATACAGGAATTTCATAGAAGAGGCCCTTGGGTGGCACCTACTCTTTAGAGTTTTCTTCTTCAAATGCTAACTGTGATAATGTTTTCAACTTCAGTCCATTCACCTAGGTTTTGTCTGGGTGAGTTTGAATATATTCTTTCATAAACACATAGCTGTACAGTACATATATACAGACCTCCCTCAGGGGAATTAAAATGAATATTTTTATAAGTTTAATTGCTGTTTTTTTAATGTTTAATTTTCATTTTGTGTATATTTCTTTCTTGACATGGTAAAGAAAGTGGTATATATAACTAAAAAGATATATATGTAAAAATTAGTCTTCCACATGAGTGAACCAAGTACTCCTTTGTGCTGCTTAAGTACGGCTCCAGCTGCCCATTGTTGCACCATATGCTTTAATGAAAAGCTTCCGGAGAATGTTCCTTTAGATTCAGACTCAAAAACAACTTGGACTATGAAGACTTTGGCATCTGGCCTAAGTTCTATATGCCATTCTGGCGAGGGTGGGCAATGTCCACTGACAGCACTTGTTATTGGGCATGAGGGAAAAGTAAGGGAGCCAAGGAAAAATTAAAACATTTACCAATAGAAAAAACAAAAATAAATAAATAAAAATAAAATAATAAAAATAAAAATTTAAACAATGAACATTTTTTTCAGTATCTAGAGAGTATTTTGCCAATAATTTTCTGTATATGATCATATGGAATTTTTTTTTCTTTTCTTTTTTTAAAGTTTTTTATTAATAAAACAGTTAAAACAAAAAAGGACATAACGTGTCGTTCCAGTATATATAATCCTAACAATTTGTTTCTTGTCATACATATAATTCCTAATCTCTCTATATATACATATTTTCCTATATAATACAGTCTCAAATTTGTTTCTCTATATACTAGCATACAGTTTTATATACCACAATCTTAACACTAACTTAAACCCGAACAGTTCTCCTTGACTCGTACCAGCAATAAAATTTGCCCCAGATTTCAAAATAGTCCGTTTCTGTCTTGTCCTTTAATTCCATAGTGAGCCTAATCATATGGAATTTCTATAATGATTGATCAAGTAACTAAATCCATGTACTGTACATGAAACTGGAAAAATAGAATCTTCCTTCCTTCCTTCCTTCCTTCCTTCCTTCCTCTTCCTTGCTTGCTTGCATTTCCTTCCCTTTCTCTTTTGTTCTCATGTTTTGAATTTTTAGCTCTTTATGTCAGAGGCTTGTCCTCTGGTAGCATTGTTAAGTAGAACAAACAGAATAAACCTTCATTTTAATGGCTCATTTGAGGGGAAGAGGGGTCTGTAAAATGCAGCATGAATTCTGTGTTTACCAAAACCACTGTTCTTTTAATAGAATGCCCAAATTAAGGATATACCTCCACTGGATAAACTTGTCTTTCAAAAGAAATACAATAAAGATAGAGAGCTTTTGCACTTGGATAACTTATCCAGGAAGAGAAATATATTTGTAGCAGAGAATGCTAGTAAATGGAGAAGAGTTAGAACGAAAGTCAGGAATAAACCATTTTGCAATTTTGATTCTTAAAGAGTACAATAAAAGAAAAGTCTTGTTTTTGTTTTGTTTTTAATTTTGGGTTTTTTTTAAGCATAATGATAAAATATCAATTTCTCTTTTTCCTCTTCCCATTCTCGGGAATATGTCTTTCAGGTAACCCTTACTGCTGAAACAGATTGTCATTATGTGGCGTGGAGGAGAAAAAAATTATATTTACTCTTTGCAAAACACCGATTCATCTCACGTCTGTTTTCAATCCTGATTGGAAATGATATTGCTGATAAACTCTATGCATTGAACGACAGAGTGAGCCAAGGGAAAGGATTTCGATACGATATTCGGCTACCAAATTTCTATCATGTATCAGCACCGAACACACCCAAAAAACAATCAGCAGACCATTTTCAGAACAATTCAAGACAACAATAAAATTAAAGACAATATACCTCTTACTAGAAAATAATGTAATTTTGCCTTCTTACCACCATTAAATGATGAAATGTGCTATGGTGGTATCATGTAAAGACTCTCAAAAAGGCAACTTTTAAAATAAAAATCATTTTCTTTCCTAGCAGACAATCTACGGTAGTGGGACTCTTCACATACTGTTTAGAACCAGCAGACTGTACACACAGATTGTGCATTATGATTCACTTCTGTTGACTTGTGCTGCTCATCTTATTACTTTGGGAGAATAGGGGCAGATATGAATCATTATTTGATACAACTTCTTGTAATTGTACTTGCTGTGTTGTGTTTTCAAAAGCATCATTTGCATAGAGCTTTTTTTCCTGCTTATTAAGATCTCCTTGTCATCATGAATTATGCAAGCTATTTTATCACAGAGAACAGCAACAAGCAAGCCATCTTTTCAAAAGAACCTTGGTTCACTTGTGCATAATTATAATGCATAAACTTGGCCTACAGATTTACAGAAGACGACCCATGTGACAAAGAATTGAACAACCTGTAAAGCTGAAAAAGACTTGGCACTTTCTTCATTTCTATCATAAAATGATACTTTTGGATATACAACAAAAGGCATAAATATTACTATTTAGAATTCAAAAAGTGCATCAATCACTGTAAATGTTGCGGTTTATATAGCGCAAAAAGGTTCCATTATTTAAATAGGACAGAAGGCAGCTACAGTACCTTGATGAATGGGACACTATATATTTTACGAACGGTGGAAACGTGATGGGAAAGGAATTATTTCTTAAAGGGCAAATATTGGGGTGGGGTGGGGGAATTGTTTCCCCTAGTCAAAAATAAATGAAGAGTTTCCAAGCACTCTTAAACTAATGGCACTCCAGTGAACTGAAACAAGGGCAATATAAAAACTCTAAAACATTTATACAAATAAATCAATCAGTCTCCTTTCCTTTGCTTCAACATATCAGACTAACCTCAGGAACATGAAAAACATGGAATCCCATAAATCACAATATTACTTGTATCAGCAACTACTTTGAGGAAGAGTCTGAGATTTATAGCAGGAATCAAAAACATATTTTTCATCTCAGATTTTGAATCTAGGCAACACACCTGTATTTTTCAAGAGGTTATCACGTAACAATAGATTCCTGTTATTTTAGAAAGGTCTGGTGTTGCTAATCCCAGGTATTGACAGATAAGCACTCGAATGGAAAGATTATAACTTTTAAAATATTCCCCCTCATAACTTAAAATTCTGTATTTATTGAAACCTACTGGTACAACAAGAAAGAGCATAAGAGATAAGAACTTGAAGTGTACATAAGCAAATAAGCACTGCCCTGCTTGATCAAACTATTGCCCATTTAGTCCAACGGTCTATTTTCATAGTGGCCAGCCCACTGCACAAAAAAGTTCAATAGTCTTCCTGTAGATCCGATATGTCAAACTCGTGACGTTGCATGACGTATCGGAACTTTTTCCCCATTGCCAGCAATGGAGTGGGCGCGGTTTCCTCATGATGCGGCCCAAGCGATTGCCAACACATTTCACTGTAGCAAATTTCAAATTATGCTTTATATTAAAAAAAAAATAATTTTTTTTTGTCTGTCCTGATTCTTCCAGGACTCCATTTCATTGAGTGACTAGAATTTAGGGGAAGGGAAAATAGCTTCTCCTTGTCTATTTTATCTGCACCATGCATAATTGTGTATACCTCAATCATGTTGCCTCAGCTGGGACCAAAAATACCAGCTGAGATATTAGATTCATTCAAAGCTTGGAGAGAATTAAAAGGTCTTTCATTCTTCATAACTTGGCCAATGGTGATTTTTTTTTTAGATATACTGGTTTATTATGCCATTTTACATGCAAAATCAATAAGAAAAAGAATACTGTAACAATTGCAAACATATGGCCATTATATAGAAGATGACTTAATCTTATCCATTTTTCAGGACTGAATAATGTCTCTGAGCCTGGTTGTTTTCTTGCAGATGTTTCATTACCCAAACTAGGTAACATCATCAATTCTAGTACTGACGATGTTACCTACTTTGGGTAATGAAATGTCCAAAACACCCAAGCTTAGAGAGTACCAAGGACCCCTCATTTCAACTCTGAGCTACAAATATTCTCCTTTCTTAATATCAGCTATATTGTACAATCTTGGGGTTAACATCTCTTTAAAGGAAGAAAAGTATACATTCTTTCCTATCTCACTAACTGATATAAAGCTTTTGTATTTTTAGAAATAGTATAAGGAAAATGTATACTTCTTTGCTCCTCAAAGTATAACCTATATTATAATGGTTATATTATATTATAATGTTTCTGTGGAAGGAACAGCTAGGACAAATGCCATTATTTTTAAAATCATGTTCAAAAGTCAGAAATATTTGAGCAACAGATTTTGATTTTGATCGATCTGATTCTTGGCTAACTACACATTCTGTTTTCCATTTATTTTATTTAGTAGATTAGTAATAAAGCTGTACTATTTCATTTTGGATTTATTCTGGTCTGTCACTACATTATTTCTTTTTAGAAACAGAAATTCTAGGACAATTAATTCAAACCAAACTAAATATATTAGATTCAGTTAGGAGTAGTTGCAATATGTATAATAAAGAAACACAATGTATTTGGAGTGAAATATTAGTAGACTGAAAGTCTTATATTTTTGTTGCTTATACTCAGGGGAAGCTTAGAAAATGATAATGATTTATATATAAAAACTTTAAAACAATTGAAACAAATTATATTTTCTATGCTAAATGTACTTGTCCAATATTGTACAGATGTGTACTTTACAAATATTTAAATTTTAGTAGAAACATGTATTTTCTTAGCATTTTAGAATAGTTTGACTTTATGGAATGGCAGAGGGTTTTAGAAATAGTTTTTAGCAATTTGAAAATGCATTAAATATGTTGCTACCAGCAGGCATATTTAGTAGTAAATTTATACATAAAAGCATTTATATGTTCAGCAACCCTATAAATCCCTATTCTGCATCCACTCTGTTGCCCATGCATAAATACATATGTATATGAGATTCTAAAATGTATGTGTTTTAATTTCAAGATAAAACTCATCATTTGTGAAGAACGTCTAATGTACTGACACTGACATCTAGCACATGTATATACATCTGTCTATAGATCTATCATGCATATAGATATGGAGCCATGTGGACAAGGGACTGCTGCTTGTTTAGTTTCCCCCCCAAGTGTAGCAATTGTGCCTGTAAATACACAGGGCAGGTGGGAGGAGAGACAGTCAGACACATTAGTGAGGCAAAAGAGTTAAGTGAAAAGACTGTTATTACAAATTTGGTATTTTGTATAAAGTAAATTAACATTTTCATCTTTTACTAAAGGACAACACAAAAAAGATAAACAGCATGCTCAAAAGAAAACACCTTATAAACATTTCAATTTAATGGCTACATGGCTTTGCATTAATGAAATGCAGTGATCATTCCTGTAGACAAATTGTTATTTGTGATATGCAATGAATATTGTATTCCCTCTGATGCAGATTACCATTTTAACAGGTTAATTCCCTACTATTATCTTTATAAGCTTTGATAATTAATGGAAAAAATAGGAATAATTACTAAATGTCTGTAAATAACAGATTATTATTGTTTATTCTAATAGATAGATAGATAGATAGATAGATAGATAGATAGATAGATAGATAGATAGATCCTACATTTTTATAAAATCTTCGAAGTTTGTTATTTTAATGCAAAAGGCATGATGGAAAATACAAACCAGCAGCTATGGTAATAGGCATTTACAGGAAGAATATGGAAAATCTAGATTTTGTTATATAACCAAATTGGAGAGATATGGAAAAAAGTATAATAATCAGGAATGCATCCGTCAGCCAAGATCTGGTCTGAATTCAAAATATGAAAAGCATGATTCAGTTTGATTTGAATCTATTAGAATATATGTAATTCAGAATTGAACTGTGAGTCTTTGCTGCTCTCTGAACTTTGTCGTTTGCTTGCAGATGTTTCATTACCCAATTAGATAACAACATCAGTGTGAATGAGTGTGGGGTTTGCACCATGTTTATATACAGCAGTTTGCCCTGCAACTTCTAAGGAGCAAATTTGAATCTATTAGAGTCTCAGTTCAATAAAGATAATCTATAAAGGATAACACTGAAAGTCTACAGCTGGTTCATTCTGAGGCCAAATAGGATGAATGTAGCAGCAAAGTGATGACCAGTTTAAAGAAAAATAACGCTTCAACCAGCGGTGGGATTCAAATATGTAAACAACCAGTTCTCTGTGTGGATGCCACTTCCGGAAGTCCATTCTGAGCCTGGGCAACAAAAAATTAGCTACCGGTTCTGCCAAACTGGTGCAAACCGGTTGAATCCCACCATTGGCTTCAACTAGATAGATTCTGGGATTTCTATGTGCTATTTTTTTTGAAGTATTCTGTAATCTTTCAAGGCAGAGATAGAAGGAATGAAGAATGTTTTTTCAAAAATGTAAGAAGCAGATCACTGCTCTTGTGTGCCTAATATATTATACTATACTAGCATGATTCTGTATCACACTAATATGTTTCACATTCATAATTACTCAGCAGCAAGCACACTACTGCAAACTTGTTCAGGCAATAAACAAGTAATCTGTCCCTAGCTAAAAGGAGATATGCAAACAGCAGACAACCTTTTTATCTTAATGCTGTAGTAGTGTTTGCAGAAGTGATGAAAATCATTTCACCAGATGCTAATAAGACCCGATCACACCATTCAACATCTTCATTCAGCTATGTAAATATAGAAAAGCTGCAATCGTGCTTAAAACTGCAGAAAATCTATCAAATCTCTAAGTCACCTTCAAATAACTGAACCGATTCAA